AATGGCAATCTACTATCTATAGCTGAATCAGCCCAATAAGAATCATGGGCAACTGCAGTTGTTAATTACGTGCTCGCAAGGTCATATACTTTATTATTATTTTTTTTAATAATAATAACAACAACAAAACAAAAGAAATCTGTGCTTCAATTAAAAATCATCGGCATGCCAAAAGTTCCATACGGGCACCGGCACTCGAGTCATCATCAATCAAAACGATTGGGGCTTCCTCCACGGCAATGCCTCTTTGTTTCCCTTTCCATGTCACACAAAATATGGTGTTTAGTGAATTGCTGACTTGGTTTTCAATTACCACTTCTGCTCTCCATTTATTTAAACTTTAAAGCTAGAAACTTTCCCCTTCTCCTAACTACCACTTGACAAAGGAATATGCACAGAAACAAGAAAGCATGACAAGCTGTTCAAGCAATAAACAATACCTTTATAAATGATATACGTTTTGGTCATTTAAGCAGTTGGAACATAGTGGAAAGTCGCCATGTGGGAAGCACATGAAGAAGATTCTATGTCAAAACATGGCCCAACCTGGAAAATTTTGGGTTCTACTCAACTCATTTGTCAGGCGGGTCGGGTTTAGGTTTCATTTTTTTGGTGTTTTAAAATCGGTTCGAATTCGTGTTGATCCGAAAACCCAAATCAACCCAAAAATGACCAGGGTCACCTACCTGCAGTCCCGACTCCCATGCTAGTGCGGTCTGCAGCGACCCTCCCGCGTTAGCGTGGGACCCTCGCCAGCACCAGAACCCTTGCCAGCACTGTGCCTGTGCCGCATCCACACCCACACGGTCGCACCCTTGCTCACTCTGGAGCTCGCACCTACACGCACTTGCCGCCTCGCCCACTTTCTCCCCCTTCTTTGCATGCGCTCTTGCCCCTCGCGCTCCCTTCGCCCGCACAATGCCCCACCCGCTAGCTGCGAGTGGCTCTCGCTCCCTTCCCCCACAGGCCCGGCAAGCGCTCACCCCATTCGCATCTCCAGGTTATCAAAGGGTTGGGTCAACCCGACAGTTTGGAGCCGGATATGAATTTTTGACCTATTTGCAAAACCGGGTCGAGTTCGGGTCAGCTGAATTGGACTCGAGTCAATTCCAAATTCAATCCGAACCCAACCCGAATACCTATTTTAACACCCCTACATGTGATTGCATTTAGGAACTAATAATCAAGAAGTTTATGGTGGACTTAAATTAACGTGATTAAGCTGAACATATGAAAGAAACTAGTTTCACTTTACACAAGTTCTCTAGTCATTGGTTTAGTGATGATGACGACATTATGCGACCAAAAAGCCAAGGGCATTTGTGAGCATCTATAAGCATCAGCTTCTCTTACTGAGAATAATAGAATAACTGTGGTGCGGCTAAAAGCACTATACAAGAAGGAAAAGTAAAAGAGAGCATCTCGGTGGGCGAGATGAACCACATTATTTCATCACTCTTTATCCCCATTAGCACCTTCAAAAGTGGATCTTTATTTCAAGCTTTTTAAGAGAATTATGAATTTAACTTTTATTCCAATCTTGTTTAATAAGAATTATGAATTTAATCGCTAAAACAGAAAGGCATGCGGCAACCATAATAGTTCATCGTACATGAGGTTACCTACTTTGCAGCTGCGAAGAAAACAAAAAATTATGCAAGAAATGAACACTGCAATAATAGTAGATTGGGAAGTATTCTAGGTTTTAGTGTGCTGATGCATTGCGATTAGGAATGTCAATTCAGGTCAACGAGTCGGATTCGGGCCGAATCCGACTTGACCGGGTCACAAACAGGTTGACACTAACCCGACCTGATTTTGTAAACATGTCAGGTTTGTCAACCCGAACCCGACTTGTGCGGGTTATCAGGTTGACCCGACCCGACCCGCGAAGGAGATTTGGAGGTCGGGATTCGAGAGGTTCGAGCGAGGCGGAGAGTTGCGAGTGTTGTGCGCCCGTGCGAGCTTTGAGATGATGCGGCTCCGTGGTTTGGCACGCCGAAGGGCTTGACTTATACGACTCCACTGTTCAACGCGACGACAGGCAAGACCAGTGCGGCTTCGGCACTCCGCAATGTGCCTTTGCAGTCTGCTGTTTGACATGAGTGGTGCATCTGGCCTGATGCTTGCATGACGTGAGTGGTGCGCCTAGCTTTGCTGTTCGACGAGAGGGAGGGCGAGACCGGTGCAAACTGTGGATTGACAGTCACAGATGCAATTATGCGAGGCAAGTTGGCAGTCGGGTCAATCCCAGGTTTATGAGTTGACCTAGACCTAATCAATTTTTAAAACGGGTTGAAAATTGAAACCCGAATCCGACCTGTTTGTTAAACAGTTTGACACTAACCCAAATTTTCCAGGTCGGGTTCTGATCTAAGTTGTCGAGTCATGTCAATAATTGACACCCCTAATGACGATTTTTAAACTATATTAGATGATCATGCATGAAAACAAATTTGGAGAAACTCTTATAATCCATTAAGAGTCTCAACCATGAGTTCAAGGAGCAAAATGCTCCACTTGAAGCTCAACAAGTTGTGGTAATTGACAACTATAGACGTAGAGAGGACAAAAAGAGTTTTTCATTCTGACTATGAAGAAGATTCTATGTCAAAACATGGCCCAACCTGGAAAATTTCGGGTTCTACTCAACTCATTTGTCAGACGGGTCGGGTTTAGGTTTCATTTTTTTGGTGTTTTAAAATCGGTTCGAATTCGGGTTGATCCGAAAACCCAAATCAACTCAAAAATGACTAGGGTCACTTGCCTGCAGTCCCGACTCCCGTGCTAGTGCAGTCTGCAGCGAGCCCTCCAGGGTCAGCACCCGGACCCTCGCCAACATCACGCTCGTGCAGCGTCCAAATCTGCACGGCCGCACCCTCGTCTTCTCTGGCGCTTGCACCCTACACGCGCTCGCCTCCTAGCATGCTTTCGCCCCCTTCATCGCAGGTGCTCTTTCCCCTCCCGCTCCCTTCGCCTGCACAATGCCCCACCCGATCGCCGCGAGTGGCTCGTGCCCCCTTCCCCTGGCAGGCATGGCAACGCTTGCCCCATTCGCATCTCCGGGTTATCAAGTTGGGTCAAGTCAAACCGGCGGGTTGGATTCAGATCTGAATTTCTGACCCATTTGTGAAATCGGGTCAAGTTCCGGACCTTCTAGTCAGTTGAATTGGACTCAGGTCAATTCCGAGTTCGAGCTAAATCACTATTTTAGCACCCCCTGAATGTGATTGCGTTTAGGAACTAGGAATCAAGAAGTTTATGGTGGACTTAAATTAACCTGATTAAGGTTTCGTTTGGGACGGCTTTTTTATTGCTTTTGAAAACGGAGTCTTAGTATAAAAATTAAAAAATTTGTATTACAACTCCGTTTTAAAAAGCAATAAAAAAGCCGTCCCAAACGAAGCCTAAGCTGAACATATGAAAGAAACTAGTTTCACTTTACACAAGTCATTGGTTTAGTGATGATGACGACATTATGCGAGCAAAAAGCCAAGGGCATTTGTGAGCATCTATAAGCATCAGCTTCTCTTACTGAGAATAATAGAATAACTGTGGTGCGGCTAAAAGCACTATACAAGAAGGAAAAGTAAAAGAGAGCATCTCGGTGGGCGAGATGAACCACATTATTTCATCACTCTTTATCCCCATTAGCACCTTCAAAAGTGGATCTTTATTTCAAGCTTTTTAAGAGAATTATGAATTTAATTTTTATTCCAATCTTGTTTAATAAGAATTATGAATTTAATCGCTAAAACAGAAAGGCATGCAGCAACCATAATAGTTCAGCGCACATAAGGTTACCCACTTTGCAGCTGCGAAGAAAACAAAAAATTATGCAAGAAATGAACACTGCAATAATAGTAGATTGGAAATATTCTAGTTTTTAGTATGTTTATGCATTGCGATTAGGGGTGTCAATTTAGGTCAACGGATTGAATTCGGGTTGAATCTGACTTGACCCGGTCGCAAATGGGTTGACACTAACCCAACCCGGTTTTGCAAATGGGTCAGATTTGTCAACCCGGATCCGACCCGTGCGGGTTATCAGGTTGACCCGACCCGACCCGCGAAGGAAATTTGGAGATCGAAATTCGAGCGGTTCGAGCGAGCGGAGAGCTGCGGCTGTTGTGCGCTCGTGCGAGCTTTGAGCTGGTGGGGCTCAACGGTTTAACGCGAGGGAGGGCTTGACCGATACGGCTTCGCTGCTCGACGCAAGGGCAGACAAGATCGGTGCGGCTCTGACACTCTGCAATGGGTCTCTGCAGTCTGTGGTTTGACACGAGTGGTGCGCCTTGCCTGATGCTAGCTCCACAGTTCGATGAGGGGGAGGGTGAGACCGGTGCAGACTGCAGAGTGACAGTCGTGGATGCAATTACACGAGGCAATCCCGGGTTAACGAGTTGACCTGGTCCCAACTAATTTTTAAAACGGGTTGAAAATTGAAACCCGAATCCGACCCATTTGTTAAACGGTTTGACACTGATCCGGATTTTCCGGGTCGAATTCTGGTTAAGTTGTCGGGTCGTGTCAATAATTGACACCCCTAATGACGATTTTTAAACTATATTAGATGATCATGCATGAAAATAAATTTGGAGAAACTCTTATAATCCATTAAGAGTCTCAACCATGAGTTCAAGGAGCAAAATGCTCCAATTGAAGCTCAACAAGTTGTGGTAATTGACAACTATAGACGTAGAGAGGACAAAAAGAGTTTTTCATTCTGACTCCATATACATGCTTACATTTGTCATTTTGTATTTATTCATATTCTTTTTTCTTTTTTTAAATATTCAAAATTTGAGCCATTAAATTCTGGTAAACACTTTAAGAAGTTTACGCCAACCCAACTGCAATCAACAATCCCAATTAAAGATACATAAATGAGTCAACAGCAATAATTCAGGGAGCTACTATGCAGCTTAAGTCTTCATCACGTCACTCTGAAAGCAGTTCAGTTCCTAAATTTAGTTTCATCTTGCAAACAGCCAAAGAAATATCAAAAAGCATCAATGGATACAAATGATTGAAGAATCTCATCAATGAATTTCTGCTATTCAACATTCATAACAATTCTACAAAAAAGATCCAAAGATCTATTAAAATTTTGTGTGATTAGCATACAGGTAACAGAAACATGACGGTCTACGCAAATTCAAACCGATTGAATAGCAGATTTACAAACTTGAGCTGCAACTTTACATTTTGTTTGATGTGTTGAGAAGTAGCTCACTCTTCAGATAAATCAATACCATAACGATGTGCTAACTTTGCAGCAATACCATCCAGCAATAACAGTTCTATCATCTCATGTTTTTTGTAGTTAGCCATTACCATATCTTCCTGCTGCTTTGCAAGCTTCTCTTCTTCTTCCAACTGGAGCTGCAACCAAATGAAATGAGTCAAAACAAAATTTGTACTACGCAATCGTAGTTACATGTAAGGTGTTTTCTATCAACAACAAGAATTCGTTGAAAAATAACACAATAATAATATCTACTACATTTTATGCCAAGAACTGGGGGAATTATTAGGTCCGGTCACTAGACCTAAAAATAGGTCTGGATATCCAGTTAAAATTTGCCACGTGGACTGCAGTTTGACTGCGCTTTTGGTGAGCTTGACTTAAAATTTTGCGGATACGTGTACATTCCACATGTCAATATTTTATTGATGTCCGGATGTATCTCTACGTCCGGTGTCCGGACCTAATAATTTTCCCAACTGACCTGAGCGAGCGCCAGGCTTTCTTTGCCATGCCTACTGCACAACCTCTTAAGCCTCTCTGCAACCTCAAAGTCAGGACTGGACTTGTCGACCCAGCGGAAGTTTATCTTCCTACCAGGCAGAGGAGGGCGATCAGAAAACATCTCAGCTTTTGCAGGATGTGCGCTTACAGGACGAGGCATCCCTGAAATCATGAAAGGGAAGTCCTTCATTGTCTTGATTACTTTACGTGCCTTTACAGGATCCTCCATTTCCACCAAAGCACATTGTGGCATGTCATAAGGGATTGTCAAGTTTGGAACGAACTCTATATTGACAACATTCCCAAATTGTTCAAGAGCCATTTTTAGCACTGCAGCTGTAACCTCAGGGGAAAGATTGGAAAGGAGCACGGACCTCTTAACTTTCTCCTCAAATTCAGCAAATTCCTTCCTAGCCTGTTCAATACTACTCGACATTCTCTTGTTCACACCTACAACTGCAAAGCTTTGAATAATTCATCAGTTCAGGCATAAAGAATAAGTCAACATTATGGATGCTCAATATCATATTAAACCTATCTGCAAGCCAACAATACGTATAATTCATTTAATTAACCAGATGAATGTCAACAAATACAGACCAATAAGAACCACAGCAACTATAAGTGGTGAAAGACAGCTGAGCTATAGATTCACCTTCATCTAACACATTGTCCGATGTTCAAATCAAACTATTTCATTAAAAATTTAAGAAAATTTAGTACTAATTTGAAAAGAAATAACATGTATTAATATAAATGGTATATTTTTTAAGGGGAAACACTCAAGTCCAACTCATTAGATAACATGACATATCATTTCTAAGCCAGAGAGACAACATCCAAGTTCAAAACAATCCATATCCAAATTATACAGTCCATTACAGGCACATGCACGCAATCAATTATTTATACAACTACAAGAAATGAAGATCACCATCCTTATGCTCATTATCCCATATAGGGTTATATCCTACTCCAGTCATTTCTACTGATAACAGCTACATGAAGTTTTAATTTTAGTATTTTTCACTTTCAACAAATTTTCAACAGTTTGATAATGGAATTTGCATTTGCATGGGTTCAATAGTTCATTTTTTATGGTTGGTGTTGGATACGTAACTAAATATGTTTGATTTAGGTGGCATGTGTGTAATTTTCTCTTAATTCTAATTTAATCCCTTTGTAAAGTTGTTGGACCTGATGATATTCTAATAGAGGTGTGGAAATTCTTAGGAGATGAAGGAATTTTTTGGCTTACTAAACTTTTTAATACTATTTTGAAGACTAAAAAGATGCCAAATGAGTGGAGAATGAGTGTGTTAATTCCTATTTTTAAAAATAAAGGTAATGCACAAGATTGTGAGAATTATAGAGGAATTAAGTTAATGTGTCGTACTTTAAAACTATGAGAGCGAGTTATGGAGCATAGGTTGCGACATTATACTAATGTTTCTCAAAATCTATTTGGATTCATGTCGGGTAGGTCGACTATGGAAGCCATACATTTATTAAGAGGTTTGATAGAGAAATATAGAGAAAATAAGGAGGATCTACATATGATATTTATTGATTTAGAAAAAACATATTATGATAAAGTTCCAAGAGAAGTGCTATGGAGAGTTCTTGAAAATAAAGGAGTTAATAACGCTTATACTCAAATCATTAAAGATATATATGCAGGAGCTATTACTTCTGTTCAAACACAAGGTGGTTTGATAAAGTATTTCCCTATTTCGGTTGGGTTACATCAAGGATCAGCCTTAAGCCCATATCTTTTTGCTTTAGTCATGGATGTTCTCACTAGACATTTGCAAGAGGATGTACCTTGGTGTATGCTTTTTATTGATGATATTCTTCTTGTTGATAAGACTAGAGAGGGAGTTGAAGGTAAACTTGAATTATAGAGGTCAACCTTAGATTCTAAAGGTTTTCGCTTGAGTAGATCTAAAACGGAATATATGGAGTGTAATTTTAGTAGTAATAGACCTAGTGAGGGGATTGTGACTTTGGGCGATCAAGTCATTAATAAGAGTACACATTTTAGATATCTTGGATCTATTGTTCAGAGTGATGGTGAAATAGATGGGGATATTATCAGCAGAATTCAAGTTGGATGGTTGAAGTGGAGAAATGCATCGGGCTTGTT